AGTTTTCAAGGGGGTCTTTACCTTTAAATGCTTTGTGTATATTTTAATTTTTGCATGTTTTTTAAACTGAAGATTGAAAAAAAAAATGAACTGAGCTGCATTGAACATGTCTAAAACAAACAAATATATCCATTTACAAATTGACGACCCGTATGTGTATGCAAATATTCATTGTATTAAAGCTATAGAGACAGTTACACTTGAACGTAATTAGATCTATCAAGGACCATTAGGAAGTTTTTTTCCCTAAATAAACAGAAACGACCATATTTTCAGTGAATTACGGCCTCATATAAATTCAAAGAGCTACATCTGTTTCAATTAACATTAATTTTGTGAACCTGATATTCTGTTAGTGCTACTACAAACATGAATATCACTACGCGAACAAAGAGATAATTCACTTAGTACTCTTGTCTGACATTGATATTCTTATTTTAAGTTTGAGCCTATTTCTGGTTCAATTTTAATAAATTTGCCAACCAAATAATTTTCCATCACTCTAAAAAACATGACGGTCATTACAAGCAAATGAAGACAGGAAAGTAATTCAATGAAATACTTTTGTTTCAGTCGTGCGTCTGTGTGAACCATGATGTTTGAGCCTAAATGAATAAAAAGTCAAGGGTACTCTACTTGTTTCCATTCATGGTAAATGCAAACCAAATATCTTGCTATTACGACGCAGACATGGATATCTGTAAGCAAACAAAGAGTAAACTCAATTAGTTCTCTTTTTTGTAACGATCTCCAGTAGATATGAACATGTAAGACCAGCGTTTTCAACCTTTTTCAGTCACGGCTCCCTTTTAAGAAATAAAAAGTTTCACGTCACCTTTATCACAGACTCATCACAAAATATTACTTGTACATCACTCTGAAACTCGTCAAACACTTGTGCATACTCGTTGCTAACTTTTGAGAGAGAGCGAAGCGAGCGACCCCAAAAATGACATTATTAATATGTTGAAAAAATATTTTGTCATCAAGGCACTAGATAAGATATGAAATAATGTATGCGGGCACCCCGCCGCCGAATATTAATGAACATGAGGATATTCGGCCGATATTTGTTGCCTGAACTTATCTCGTTAGAGAGTGATAGCAATTTGTTCGAAAGTCGGGTCGCAAGATGTGTATAGTTGTATGTATATATATGACATCCTTCACGATATCGAGGATGTTATTGAATTAAATTAATTTGAACAAGTGCCCTATGCATTGCATGATTACCTTTGGCATTGAAGTATGATGATTTTTTTCATATGAAATATGCCTGACTGCCTGCCCCCACTACTGTGTAGGCCTATATAAGCCTATTTAATTATTAACAAGGCTCTCCTGTGCACGGTACGAGCACGGTGACTTAAGTATTTCAATATATTTCATTTCATTCATCTCTCTCTCTCTCTCTCTCTCTCTCTCTCTTTCAGTCTTTTGTTGGCCAACCGCTCTTCCATTAAGCATTGTTTATATATCATGTATATAATATTTTTATATAATTATTATATGAACATTATCATTTTACTTATGACAAGGTCGTTAGCTCAAGCTGCGCTAATGACGACCCCTTTTGTCTATGTATGACTGAATGTGACATATATAAGTTCATATATTTGTGATGAAATATATGGAAAATAAATAAAAAATCAAACAAATATCAACCAAGTTTTTATTTTTGCGCTGTGGTTGATTATGCAGACCATAATGGCGCCTCATAGCCACTGTTGAATGCGCATGTGGCTCGACTGTCGGACAAGACATATGGAAATGAATTTCTGCTTTTAAAAGTACGCTATAGCATTGCATAAAGTAGCATTTCATAACAGGAATTTTGTAAAAAGTACATAGGTTTTATAGTCCTTCAACTGGCAACACTTTGAGAAGGTAAACAATTTTCTTTTTCGATTAAAACTGGCATTTTGTCAACTTTAAGACCCTAACCCACATCGCATTTTATTACAACAATGTAGCATTACAAGAAATATCTAATTGTGGCCAGTTTGAAGAACATTAAGTGAGTAATGTAGCCCTTAAAAAAGCCCTATCCTGAAACGGTAAAGCAAAATGTGTAGCAGGCATCAACTATTACCAGTTATACTATCAGACTAAAAGCACTTTCAGACCAAGGATGTTCGTGATTACTCTAAAGATATCACTATCTAGGTCATATCCTCCCCGCCTCACTAATCGAAATAATTACTCCTATGACACGAGATCGTATAGTTGGGATTCGGGGATGTACTTAGCTTCGGGGATAGTTATTGCAATTTTCAAATAGTCTTTCGTGATCATGATTATCTTTTGGGTTAGTAAATGTACCTTTATAATCAACTTTTGACAAAACCCTTCCCTGTGTACATGACTGTTATAGAATAATGTAGCATCACAAGAAATTGTTGCCAATTTGAAAAACATTGTGTGTTTAATTTAGCCCTTAAAAAACACCTATCCTGAAAGGGTTAAGCAAAAATGTGTAGCAGGTATCACATATTACCAGTTACTATCAAGGTAAAAGCGCTTTCAGACCAAGGATGTTCGTGATTACTCTAAAGATATCACTTTCTATAGGCGTAAGTTTCCCCGCTTCAATAATCGTAATAATTACTCCAATGACATGAAATCGTTTGATTGGGATTCGGGGATGTACTTAGGTTTCGGGAATAATTATTGCAATTTTCAGATAGTCTTTCGTGATCACGATTTTTAGTGTTTTGGGTAAATTGGTCTATGGCTGGGTAGTCATTAAATGTAATATGTGTACCCCCTGCCCCCGCTCCCCACCCCCAGCCTAACCCCGCCCACCTCATCCATCCACATCTAGTTCTCATTAAACCATTCTATTCCCTCTTTCATCTCTTCAGCGAATATCTTCACCGGACTCACATGCACTCCTCTTTGTCTGGATATAAAATGTGAGATAACCTATTTTTTTTTAAATCCTCGACATCAGGTAAACTTCTATATTTTTGCGAGAAATCCGTTGTTTGAGATGGGTTTGTTATTTTGTACTTGTACTTTGTAATGTTACAATATTTTGTCAAATTTGGGATATGAATATATGGAATGTACTTTATGTTTCTGTCATAATTTAAAAACAAAATATCATTAACTTGAATCGTATCAAATAGTGTGCCAGGATGATGTACATGAAATCGACTTCTTTAGATCTTTAATCCTAAAATAAGTCAATTATAACTAATCTTCAATTCATTTATTTCCAATTCTCGTTAAAAACACATTCAACAATACATTATACATATAAGCAAATATATAAACAATACAAAGAATATACAAAATGCCTTCTTTAATTGAAGATTTTTTTCTTACACATGTGCTTTTAGCAACGCGTGTGTCGTGTTTGTCTACTCGCGTAAATAACATAGAAAACTAAAAAGGCTCGGATTTTTAGCTGTTAATAATTTATAAAGATGAGAGATGGGCTGGAGAGCGCAATTAATTATTCATTCTGGGGTAGCGAGGAAGACATTATGATGACAGAAGGTTACCACTTAATGTCTTTAATTATATTGAATGATTTACGCTTGCTGCGGAGAGACAGCGATTGTACGTCCCTGGGGGAAAGCGACGAAAGCTTTCAAGTGTTCTGCGATTCTAAAGCGAGCGACATTATGTTTCATTTTGGAAAAAAGGACGTTTTATGTTCAATTTTCCTGTCAACTCTGTTATGTTTTTCATTTCATGTGATACGTCCTTCACACTACATTTTTCTAAAAATAATCCAGACTTACTCTGTATTTTTTTGTTCCGTATCTATTAAATCCCCACTGCACTAGTTTAGACAGGAGGGATTAGACCTCCCTGTATGGTCTCTGACAGGTGGTTATCTCATCAAATCAGCTCTCAATTAACATAAGAAAAAGAGGATCATGGGGGACCAATGGATACCGATTAGGCACTGTTTGCTATATAGAGGGCGCAAGTATATAGCTATTAGTAGTGCAGTGGGAATTTAAAGATGGTTCATCTCTGGAATGCAGGGGTATAACCTAAGGTCACGTCTGCTAAAGGAGGGGCAATGTTACCTCTGGAAGGAAAGTTATTCACATTAACTTCTTCTTGATTTCAGAAGGTGCCGGGTATTTGAAAGTCTGTATTTGGGGGTGTGTACTTTCAAGAAAGGAAAGGGGCAAAGTGGATAGGACTGATTTTCCTCATACAGACTTGTAATCTGGAACAACAATATCACACGAGGATCATGAGGAAGCAGAGGTTTGCATACAGCAAGGGTAACTATGAGCCTAAGACGGTGCATATAATTATGCAGCCTGGACGAATCCTGTATTTAGGACGGGTACAACAATAACGAGCGAACAACCACAAGCATGTCAAGAGGGGGCAAATGGGTACCTAGAGGGGGTCAAAATCTAGTTGAACCCTGAAATGTTTCAATCATATCCCTCTTATTTAGAATCAAATTGTGTTCATTTCTCAATGTTTATTACTACATTTTCGCGCACTGATGCACTATCATTCTCTGAAAGCAAAAATTAAGGAACTTAACATTTGTACTCCATGTTGACACTTAAAGGAGATCTGCACTAGTTTGGCCAGAATGGATTAGACCTCCCTGCATGGTCACCGACAGGTAGTTATCTCATCAAATCAGCTCTCAATTAACATGAGAAAAAGGGGACCATGAGGGATCAACGGTTCCGCTTAGGCATTGTTTGCTATATAGAGGGCGCAAGTAGCTATAAGTAGTGCAGTGGGGACTTAAACAAAAAATAGCTCAAGGGACCAGACAGAATGAACATACATGTCTTTATGACGGAGGAGAAGAATACATCTTTATGACTTTTATCTAAAGAGCAGCTGTTCACAGATGAGTTCTTCATCAAGATCAAGAACATGTGAGATTTTGTGGGTCCAAACACTGTAAGCTTTACAACACCGGCACGAAGATGAAAGAGCCCGCGTTAAAGATTTACATTTTTCGTCATCAAAAGAGCGGGATAAAGAGGATCAGGTGGACTTACCATACGTTGCCAGGAACTCAACGTTAATGTTTGTAGTGGCTCATCCTGTACACCAGAAGACATCAGAAGATGAGGAGGAATACAGACGGGAAGCGAGAGAGAGAGAGAGAGAGTGAGAGAGGGAGAGAGAGAGAAAAAAAAGTAAGAGAGGAGATAGACAGACAGGAAAAAAAATGAGAGAGAGAAAAGGGAGAGGGGAAAGAGCGAGAGAGGTGGAAAGGGAGGAGACAAAGGAGAGAAAGAGGAAGAGAGAGAGAGAGAGAGAGAGAGAGAGGGAGATAGAGAGGAGGAGATGAAAGAGTAAGAGTAGGAGGATATGGAAAGGCTTGAATTTGATAAGTGATTGGAAGAGGGCGGGGGAGGGGGTAACGGGAGAGAAAAAATAGAGGAAGGTTAATGTTTGAAGGATATGGAACACAAAATGAATAAGCATTGGAAACAATGATTCTTTTGAAACATTATTTTTTAACTCATTAACTTGGTGGCTCGTTATGAACATGGTTTGATATCATTTTTCTCGGCAATTCTGTTTTTCATTTTTCAATTCACAAATTGAATAAAAAAGATACGTCTATCAATATCGGTCACAATGTAACTTGCAGGTACTATAATTTACCGTTAATACACAATATATCATTTGAATAATACATACCAAATAAGTATAGTGAAATATATGTCTATATTGACCTGTACAAAATTCGTCACACACAGAGTAAGGGGCAGGGGGAGATGAGAGAGTGAGGGGGGGGGGGGGGTACTCACAGAATCGATAATTTGTGAGATAAGAAGATGGCGATAGACAGTAGTTGGTCGTAAAATGTTAGATATGATTTTGTTTTCTATCTATTTTTGCTTTACAGAGCAAAACATTAAAAAATCAATCCCGTCAGAGAGAGGAAGAGAAAGAGAGGGAGAGAGAGGGGCGGAGGGGGAGACCTGTATAGAATCTGATACATGAACAAATCTGTGATTTAAGATAGTTGTTGTAGTATTTGAGAGAGAGAGAGAGAGAGAAAGAGAAAGAGAATAAAGAGAGAAAAAGAAAGAAAGAGAGAGAGAGAGAAGTAGAAATCGGGCAGAGGGGAGGGTTCGAGAGTGGGTGGTACTTACAAAATCGATTATTTGTGAGATGAGAAGCCGGTGAGAGCCTACGGTTGGATGTGATAGGTTAACGACAGGTCGGATAGCCGGAGAACCGTAGTCATCCATTAACTTCTGATAAAGCAGCTTCGACGGATTTGTCAGCGGGTCCGCCAAGGCTTAAGGGTGAATTAGAAGAAAGGAAATGATTTGGTTGCTCTCTCTATATATAATCCCTTAATCCTTGTGCAGCTCAATTTCATTTCATTATAAAATCACGACATTATGTAATTGACTTTTCTCTAGTTTGTTTTCTAATGGACAGGTTAACAACATGAAAACTAAAACAGGAGGAACATTGTGGCACCATATCATGGGGGCTCATGGCTAAATTTATTTTTGTGGCGGAAATGCTTAATTCATATACATTTGTTCGTGTAGTCGCGATGGGGTGACATAGATTATAAGTTATACTAATAGATCATGAGATTTATAGATCAAGATATTATGACTTTAAATCTTGAGATTGATGCTTGTCAGTCTAAACCCGTTCTGAACTATTTGTACCTCGTTCCCAATACGTCCAACCCATTCTAACTAGTTCGCAACTAGTTCTAGCTAGTTTGTAACCCAACCACTCCGTTCAGAGACGGTTCAACTCGTCCTCATCTCGTTCTTATTGCGTTCGAACGCGCTCCTTTAGTGCGTGTGCAATCCCGTCCTGGCTCGAGGGCTAAATAACCCTACGCGTTCTTGCTCATTGATGCTAGATCATGTCACGTTGTAACACGTTTCTAGTATCATCGAAGTACGTCCATCTCGTTTTAAGTACGTTGTCACTCCGTGTAATTGCAGGACGGGGAACATTTTGAACAGGCTCAAAATTCTAGAGCACCCTTCCCGTCCAGGCCGGTCCGAGCACGTCTATGAAGTTCTAATACAGATCGTAAACAGTTGCTACTACGTTCACTCCGTTCGCACACAGTTTTCATTTTTCAGAACGTAGTGAGAACCAGTTTGGTGTGATGGGGGCTTTAACCAAGAATTATCTGAATCATGAGGTTTAAATCATGATTTCAAATCTGAGATTTTGACCGTAGGAATTTTTAATCCGAGATCTTTATCATTAGATTCAAATCCAATTTAAATCTCATTTGAATCTCACGATTTGATAAAGATATTTAACTCGTGATTTAAACAATTCCAAATTAAATCTCAGAGCTTATTCTGGGATCTAATCACGAGATTTAAATCATGAGTTCATACCATGATCTCAAACATCACCCGATCCTCCCACCCTCCAGTGTGAGTCATAACAGTGAATCAAAACGGGAGACAGTGACCACTTCGGAAGGGTTTCAAGGAGCAACAGTGCTTCTACAGGAGATGCGAACGGTAGCTTGATTATCATGCAGCCATCATGCATGTCGAATCGATTAGCACATTAGCTAACTAAGCTATTGTCTATGCCCTATTGCCCTTTGATATGAGGAGGGGTAGACAGGGGTCTGATTGAGATGACTCGGATCATCACGACTGGTATAGAATTGGATGATAATTATAATAACTGGAGTACTGGTGGTAGCGCTTGGGTCCTGTTGCCCCCGTCCTATGCCCCCTCCTCCTGCCAAAGTTTCACGAACACAAAGGAGGAAGAAAGAGGGAAAAGGAAACAGAAAGCAAGATCAAAAGAGGAAGAGAAGGATTCTTTTCCACATTATTTTGTTTTACTTCGCGACCTCGTAAAATAAAATACATTATTTACCAAGGGTGCATTAAGATACAAACTTATTATTACTGAAAACAAATTATTCAGGCTTCTTATGGGGGAGGATTGAAACAAGAATTGTGTCAAAGTGTTCCTATAGTGCTTTAGCAAATATTCAAATTCTTACTGGCTCAGCCCCCTCAAAAATGTTGAGTAATTAGGCCGGTCGACCAGATCCATGTCAAAAAATCTCATTTTGTATTCATTCTCACACGAGCAGAAACGTGACTGTTTCAAGTTTACATTTCACCACGCTACAGGTATTACATTTTACTGATGGGTGATGTCATAGAAACGAATATTAGAGAATGGGAAGAGAGAGGGAGAGAGAGAGAGAGAGAGAGAGAGAGGGAGAGATAGAGAGAGAGAGAGAGAGAGATAGAGATAGAGAGAGAGATGGAGAGAGAGAGATAGAGAGAGAGAGATAGAGAGAGAGAGAGAGAGAAAGAGAGATAGAGATAGAGAGAGAGAGAGAGAGAGAGAGAGAGATGGCGAAAGTGGGTGCAGATTAAATGGGTGGCAGGGAGAAGTTGAAGGACAGGGAGAGGACATATAACAGAGGGTGAAAAGAGAAAGACAAACAATAAAGCGCACAAATGAAGATAAAGAGATGAGGGAGAAAGGGGAGAGGTATGGAGAAAGAAAGAAATAAGGACACAATCATGTAGAAACCGAAGATAGAGGTAGGAATGGGGATGGACACATGAGAAAAAAAGATATAGACATAGAAAGAGAGAGAGAGAGAGAGAGAGAGAGAGGGTAGGGGGAGGGAAACATATGTGTGTGCTCGTGCGTAAGTGGATGTGTGTGTTTGTGTAAGAGAAAGAGATAAAGAGGGAGAGAGAAAATGAGAGAGAGAGAGAGAGAGAGGAGAGAGAGAGAGGGAGATAAACTGGAGAAAAAGGAGAGAGATTCAAAGGGAGATAAAAAAATAAAAAAAGTTACAGATAGAGATAGAGTGAGGGGCTAAGAGAGGGAATGGACAGAGGAAGGTGAGATATGCGTACCTAGGTGCGGGTGGGTGTGTTTGTGTAAGAGAGAGAGAGGAGGGAAGCAGAGGGTTTTCAACTGGCTCGATAAAAGCCCGCAAGCCAAATGAATTCACTCTGAGAACATAATTTAAAACCGAAGGACATTCGTAGCGATGATAAAAGAAAAACAAGGTAGGCAACGCTGACTAGATAGTCAATCACAAATTCGAAAAAAAAAGCCTTTAGAAAAATTACATGTAAATTTGATTCACCGAGGCGGCAGTAAATACAAGTAAAACATGCGTGCACAGGAGAAATGAGCTAAATTGAATTAGATTTTCTTATCAACTTAATGAAATTCAAATAATTCCATCCTTTGTCAGCTTTCCATGTTTGACAGATTGAAATATGAAATTAGAATGAGGGAACACTAGATGTAACAGTGTAGTACAAACGAGCTTTCTAGAGACTCTGTAACAACAAAGTGAATGACATCGGAACTTTTTGCATTTGTTATTAACAAGAATGTTAGAATAAAGTATCAGAGTTCAATTTCATCGAAATTATTGCATTAGTATGTTTTAGTCAAACAAATTAGGTATACCAGAAGATTGAGAGAGGGAACTTTGATTCAACGATTAGTGGATATCGTTTATTATTTTGTTTACTTACTTTTACTTTAAAAAAAAAGTAATACATAATGCAACCTGTTTTCCCCCACCTGCCTTAAAAACCATCTGTCTATAAAGACCATATTTTTCGTTTCCCTTGAACATCGTTCAAATATAATCAATCTGTACCCGAAGACCACCTGACTACAAAAACAACTTCTCTTGTCTCGTTTGATCGATCTTTCTACTTCTTGCATTGCTATAATTCACGAATATGACGTACCCCTAGATATATTGGCTAAAGCTTTGATACATCTAGTGCCCTCTTGGATGGACAAGCTTCAACTGAAGTAATATGTTGGAAAGTTACCGATCATTTAAGGTAATAATTACTTAGCAAAATATTTACTCCTAAAACATGACAAAAACAAACTTTCAAAATGATGTTGCATATATAGTAAAGTGGCCTCATAAGATACATTTTACCCATTATTTAAAGAATAACAGCTGAGAAAGAAGGTTAGACGTCTAAGGTTTGGTGAATCTCGAATTTCCCAAATGACATAAAGAGCTGTCTAATAATATTATTTAATGCGACACATTACCAGCATTTGTTTGTGGGGCTCTGCCTATGGTCCCATTGAATTTTAATAGCAACCAAGGCTAAAAAAAAATATTAAAAAATACAGTTTCCCTTCCAAATCGCAAACACCCCCACACTAAGAACCAACGGAAAACGCATGTGACCTGTAATGGGACATGACTATAGCTTTCGCTTTTTTTTGGCTCCATTAATTTTGCTAATAAATGAAATAGATGAAATGGAAACTTTTAAAGTAATTGAGGCGTCTTTTGTTTGACTTAGAACTAGATCAGTGACTCCTCCTGTCTTTGATGAGCCATGAACGAGTAGTGATTTCGTACACGGATTGATATAGTCTAGAATAAATCAGTGATGTCGTATCGAGTGATTAAGCACTTGACTTAAAAGGCAAATGTCGTGGGTACAATCCCAGACCTGTTAAGTGCTTTGAGACGGCATTTCGTATAAAGAGCTATGTAAATGCAGACTGTTATCATTAGAATGAACAGTGCAAACACTGCGTTGAATCACGAATGTCTATTGCCCTAGCAGTCGTGGTTAGCGGAGGTAATAGGGACTTTTAGATTTGCACGACGAGAACGTGGACTGCTATGTGTGACATCCTTTTAAGGCACTGCCGAGCACTGCCAGTGCCCTTTTTAAAAAAAAAGACGTCACATTGCCTTAAAAGGATGTCACGCGTGGCAGCCCACGTTCTCGTCGTGTAAATCTCAAAGTCCCTTATGACGGAACCGCAATGACGCCTCATGTGCAATAAGCACGATATTTGGGTATGAAGCGCTATTTTTTTTATTAGTATATCCGGTATTTCTGATAAAAGATTGAGAAGTCCATCTATCCCATCTGAAGATGATGCAAATAAGATAATGCGTAACATGGTATTTTATGGACATAGTTTCTGATGAGGAAGCCTTTGATTATTAGTCAACTGAATAAACAATTTTATCAATCTATTTTTTCATAAGTTATTTATGCATCTGTTTATTTATATATTCATCTATTAATTCATGTATATATTCATTCATTCATTTATTCATTCATTCATAAATTCACTCAGAATACTTTAAACAAGGTAACCTCACAACTTGGCTTTCATAACTCGTCTAACCAAAGACAATAGAATATGGGGCACATCATCTAACAGAAGGGTAACAAACTGGTCAGTTGCTTGGAAAACGGATGGGAAGAAAACAAGAAGATAATGTATCAAATACACAGGTTATTTAGGATTAAGTGGTAATGGAGAACTGCCAGCAAATTGAAATCACCAGATATCACACCTGGATTGCCATTCAGCCTTGATCGTCTTACCTGTTGTACATGTATGTGCAATGAAGCAGGGTACCTATATGTATCAGCATTCATAAAGATAGAAAAGGTACACCATTTCACACCTAGGAATATCAATTTGACGCCATCTTAATCTCTTAATAGGGACTTTTAGATTGAGTGGGCGAGAACACGACGAACGCCGACTGATCATGCGTGTTGACGTACTCAACTGCCCATGTTGACTACAATTAGAAATCTTTTAGATTGCTTTCGACGATATACATGCATGCAGGAAGTAACACTATGAACATGTCAGAAAAAGAAAGAGGACAAAATATACAGTTCCTCATTCTACCCTTAACAATAGGCCATTTTCGTAATGTAACCAAATTTAATGCATAGGTCTTTGTGAAGTGCACAATACAAATTATTTCATTCACCTGATAGGAATAATAGTATTTCAATAGTCAGAATGCAACTGCATATATTAAGTGTTGCTAGGTAGGTCAAGCCATAATGTTTGTCCAACCTGGAAACAACTAATGTATGCAGTTAGGATTCTGTCTATTGAAATACTATTATTCTTATCAGGTGAATGAAATAGTTTGTATTGAGGCACTTCACAAAGACCTATGCATTCAATTTGGTTACATTACGAAAATGGCATATTGCTGTGGTAGAACATTCCTTCACTGCTATTATGTAACAATGTGTAGAACAGGTGGATAGCAGGGAAGGGATGTTCCTTTGTCTACCTGAGGAACTGTATATTTTATGCGCACGTGGCATATATACTAGTACCGTACTAGATTTAGGAAAATCAAGGTTGACGCATTTTCGATCGCTGACTGAGACGACGTGACGCATGCGCAGTGCCTTAAAATGACGTCACACGTTGCAGTCAAAGCTGTCAACGTGCAAATCTAAAAGTCCCTAATAACGCCTCATGTACAACGTCAACGGGCTTAAACATTGAACAATGTACACATTTGTCCATAACATTAGAATATATTTAACTTTAATACCCCTTTTCAAGAAATGATTGTAACACTTGTTGATATCTTTTCAGAAACCTCATAAATCAATCTCTACGAATTGATCATTAAAATGAGTATGTGTAGAATGTGCTGTATGCATATATTTGTACCGGTCTTAATTAAAATCTTTGAAGAAGGATTCCAGGTACAAAATTATCCAGCTGTCTTCTCCCCGTCTCAATCTTCAAGAGAAAATTAGCGCTTTCGTGACGGTGAAAGATAATTAATGCGCTTTCTGACGTGGAAGATTATTGTTATAGAAATATCCTTAAAGAAAGTGAATGCTCTTGAAGTTGAAGTGCTCTTATATATTAAATAGAACTTGAAATGGTTCAAAACTTTTAACCAACGTCATATGTCACAGGTTCGTGTACTCCCATGCACGTATATGACAATGATTTTCAACAATATTTTGCTCAACCTGTTCCTACTTAATACATAATCAACCACTCCGGATAACTCTAAACTGCTTATTTCACAGTGAAATCCACCAGCTCTCAATATCACCTCTAATCTTTGAAGGATACGATCAGTAATAAATTCCAGCGCACACGATGAATCGTTCTGATATACAAATGTATCTTCATATCACATGTATTTACACTTAACTCTAAATATAATACTTTTGTTCTTTCCATTTAGATTTATGGGAAAATCCAGGGTATTTGCTCTTTCTGAGCTTTATACGTTAACAAGTATCATGAAATTTAAGAACAAAACGACGTGTAATACATACGTTCACATGTTTTTAAAATGATGGAAGTAAATCATATCAATATCATGAATAACGTAATTTAAAATGCTTTTTAGAACAATGTGAAATTTAGCCTACTGACATTACGATTGCAACCATTAGAGCCCTTCACTTAAAACGTGAAAAACCAGATCATGTACTAAAGTAACACATGTAGTCATTATCTAAGACTGAGTCATCACAATTGTGTAGCTAATTAAACCTTAATCTGGGAATTGTATTTTGTATCACGGTTTTTTTTTTTAATTCAACGTTTGCTCATAGTATGATCATAGTATTGCTTCCAACTAACCGTATGATATATTTTGTTCATATTTGCGACTAGATGTCCATTTTTTGCCACCCTATATAATATATATGCAGAGTTTGACTAAGTGTGATTAAAATTGTACATAATTTCAGTAAATGTATGAAGACGACCGTGAAAAATCTCTCCAATCTGATAAGCTAGATTAAATTTGAAAGTTATTTCTTACCTCGGCATGATGGCGTTGGGTTAAGGATAGTCCACAAGAAACAGGCGACGGATACCATACGTACTGGATAAGAAATTTGTTCCATTCTGCTCCGCTGCTTTCCCGCCACTAGTTGGCAAAAGGAAACAAATTGAATGATCGAAAACAAAAAGCGTTCCGCACCGGCAAAATTCCAGGTTGTCAACACAAGCTCTGGGTTTTAAAATCGATGGATTGAAGCGTATTCATGTCTCGAGTATGTAGTTATGTATGGTTAGTATTTCAGGTTTTGTTCGAGCACAATTTGCGAAATCTCCGTGTAGTTTCATTTATTATTCACGGTACAGACTTGGGTAGACGGGAGTAATGACATGCACAGAAGTATTGAGGGTTGGTGAACATGTAGAGTGGATGTATGGAGAGAGAGAGAGAGAGAGAGAGAGAGAGAGATGGCGCTGTTGACAACAAGCAGGAGCAAGATGTTGAGCTGATCCCTGAAAATATACCCCATTGGGAGCAACTTGTAAATAGGTGAGAGGGACGAAGACAGATGGAGAGAGAGGGGGTGGGTCGTGGAGACAGAGGGGAAAGGAAATGAGAAACAAAGAATGAGATAGGTGGTAGAGAGAGCTAGATAGTTGGAGAGGGAAAGAGAGAGAGGGAAGAGAGAGAGGGAGGGAGAGAGAGAGGGGTGAGGGAGAGAGTGAGAGAGTGAGAGAGAGAGAGAGAGAGAGAGAGAGAGAGAAGGGGTAGAAGAAAGAATGTGAGGGTAATACTAGGAGAAAAATAAGAATGAGAGAGATTTAGAGACAGAGAGTAAGAGTGGGTGATATGGAAATAGAGAGTAAGATAGAGTAAAGGAAAGACGAAAATAGATAACGGAGAGAGAGGAGGTTGAATATGACAAAGGGGGATCGAGTGGGAAAAGAGAGAAAGTGAGAGATAGAGAGAGAGAGAGAGAGAGAGAGAGAGAGAGAGAGAGAGAGAGAGAGGCGGAAAGTGAGAGAGAGAGAGAGAGAGAGAGAGAGAGAGAGAGGGTGGACGAGTAATAGATTAAATGATTTAAAAAAATGATATATACTTGCAAATTATTTCATTAAATTATAAAAAATTACTCCTTCTAGGTACAGAGACAATCCAAAATATAACCAGAACGTGAATAGTATTGCTATTTTATAGATACTCGAAAATAGTATTGTATTACGAATTCTGTATCCCTTGGTTTCAATGATTAAATCAAATATCTATATTTAAGAATAATCAGAACGTAAATAATATTTATATTAATGGATACCCGTGTTATTTCAAAATTCCACACTCTTTATGAATACATCATATAAATGTACCTTTCCGAAATATAGGGTTAGGGGACTTATATTATTGTTATCGTACGTCATATACGTAGTACATGCATTTCATTCCAAATTCTTAACCCCATTGTGTCAACTGATTGCACTTAATATCTACCGAGGAATAATCAGAATAATCAAAATTGTCGCTATTATCATACCGATATTAGATTGCCCCTCAAATTCTTTTCCCATCTTCCTCATGATCATGTTAAGACAGTATTCAATCATTTTGCTCATTTTTTCCGTTATCCTTTCCGACATTTTCTTTCTCGGGCTGATTATGAAAATAACTTGTTGAATGATAAAACCACTGCATCTCATATAAATCCTTCCGAAAGCCTCTGACTCTTATTTTCGTGGGCAAGGTGATTAGCATAAAATAGAGTAAATACTGCCAGAAATATATATCAAAACATATTCATTGGCGATTGATCCCTCATGAATATTCCTGCGTATTAAACATTGTATCCTGATAGTACGAATCAGTAAACAATTTTCTTGCCTCGTTAGAATCCCATTTGAGAACTGATAGATAATTCCTTAAAAAAAATTATCATTCGATATCCATAAATAATGTGGTAGGACTTTAAAACGTTTTTCTCCCGTGAGTGATTGTTCTAATCGAAAAAGTCACGATGGTAACTTTTGGAGGGGGTCTAGATATGTTTCGATAGTGTTACAAAATGTAGACGAATGTCTTGTCAATGAACTTCAGTGCCGTGCCAGGGACTCGAACCCCGTCCCTTTTAATCTGTCATTTGTTTCTGATGCCCCTCAATACCGAAGCTCGCTACCACTAAAGGGTTTTTAGTCATAGTTGTGCCAATGTTTGCCGGTCAGTCACACATCCATTATTTTAATCATTTTTGTGTTGGTATGGTTAGATTGAGATGGAAGGCTCTCCTGCGGAACATTTGAATGAGATAAAATAATGCGAAACAATCTGAATAATTGATTGACGTAATTAGACTAATTAGTTGTGCCTATGTTTGCTTGTCATTTACACATCTGTTATTTTAATCGTTTTTTTTTTTTTTTTTTTTTTTTTTTTGATGTGGTTAGATTGAGATGGGAGGCTCTCCTGCGGAACATTTAAACTACAAAAGGGAATGCGTAACAATCTGAATAATTGATTGACGTAATTAGACTAATTTGATTCACGCGTATATTTGTGGATCCAGGGTTCAGTATTAGTGATAGGGAGGATCCATGTAAAACAAACAAAAGATCCACAGTGGAAAGACAAAACAATGATTAAATTTGGAAGGATATCTTTGCCTCTAAAATATCTGACGAAAAAACGGTTATCACTTCATTCAGAGGCATTTAACATAATATCACTTTTGAAATAACTGGGAAAAAAAATGAAAAAAAAAAGGAAGAGAGAAAAAAACCAGATAAATAAATGAAATATGAAGTTAATCAATCAATTAATAGATTAACAAATAAATAAATAAATGAATAAATAAATAAGTGTTTATATGAAAATAAACGAATCATGATAATAATAAGGTTTTCATTTTGGGCAGGGAGAGCACATATCTAGAAGCCCTCAAGTAGGTATAAAGCACAGGAGATTTAGGGCTGAGGAGCATGCCCCTTAAACCCCACCCAGCCAGGATCCGCCAAAGACTCTGTTGGCAGAATCGTTAAAGCCGAGAGAGCGGGAATAGGCCTACACTTTTCGACGACCATACCATCTCCGTAACGGACGTGCGGCGAATTTACCTCGAACTCGTTCAACCTATGAAAGGGAACGCGCGCGCTTTTGAAAAGTACCGTGCATGATCTAATACTCGGATAAATATATCGCATCAAGAATCCTTTGTGAAAAGCTATCATCCGATAGAACTAGTGTAGTCGGATAAGAGGATAATAACGTTATGTCTCATTCTGTTTCTGTCTTAGCATCTTATTAATCACAGTTTCTTCTTTATACTGGAGCAAGGAGTGATTACGACAATGTTGAAACTCACCCTTTTTGGATTTCTCGTCTTCAACGCATGCGGGTCAACAATTGGAGCTTCTGGCACGGACCTTGGTACGAATGAAAGCATTTTGTATTTGAGTTTTATTTATGTTTAATGATATGATATTTGTTCTTTATAATAATGACTGTTTAGTTTTTATAGCTTCTGTTTAACACAAGAATTGAGTCAGAGTTTCGTCCAATATTCGGCAATACAAGACATGTGCATTCGTATTGACCGCGATCGTAAAAGACTTAACAAAACAAAAAAACAAAAAAAATCATCTTTAGACGATTTCGATAGCCTTGTCAATAAGCTCGATGTATTCAATGACGTAATCCAAACGTGTTTATTTATTGGGCAATACAGTCAGGTAATGAAATTAGCATTGACGTGATTTCTTGAAAGTCTTTGTGATCGTGGTAGCAAATCTTTTGTATATCCGTAGAACATCGTGAATACAGGGGCGGATCCAGCCGGCGGCGAGGGCGGGGCCCAATTCGTGAGAAAATATTTAGCGTTGAAAACGGGGGGGGGGGGGGGGGGGGGTGGAAGGGGGGTAATGTTAACACAAAAAAACAAGGGTATATTGTGGTTATCAACTTTGTTTGCCAGGGATGTGGGCCCGGGCCCCCGTGCCCCCACCCTGGATCCGCTACTGCTCTTTTGGGGGGAATTTACAATTACCTAATGAATGACATGATTCGACTTTGCATGTATATTCGAAGAACATCTTTTGCATATCCTTAGAACATCGTGCCATTCGTAGAGCATAGTAATAATAATAATAATAATAATAATAATAATAATAATAATAATAATGATAGCCTAATAGTTCACTCCAAATTTTATTAAACCGAAACGGAAATTCTTTTTGCCCAATTGATCGTGAGCCCGGCAGCCACTGAGCAGCGCCAGATCGACGTTGCTCTATCCCTTATTGTTGAACGCCAAACAAGGTAGCAACAACTCCCATCTTTTTACGTCTTTTAGTAGACCTTTGAAATGTTTGATATTGAACATATGAAGTGGGAATCTATGATTAGCGCGTGGATTAGACCATTCCTGATTCGGAGATGAAAAGAGCTTATAAGAATATTCGTAATACCTTTAATCAACACCTGTCTAATACATAACTACGTCAAAGCTGCGCCAGTTTTTACTTTTGACGTAGTCCTACGTCAGAAAAACGGCTCTTCGAGTGTAACGATTATTATGTAATAAGTCAACCTATAGGAATCAGACTTTTATATCGTCGTGGCAAAATGCGTGATGCGTGGTGTAATAACTCAAACCGTATAGCTATGAACATGTTTAATTAGATGACAAATCAAGGGCCAAAGATGTATGCCGTATCACGGACCTCCATGGTCGTATTAATCTAAAGGAAATGATGAGTGTAATTAGGTCCACCTTTACGTCAAATTACGATCACCATCAAAATATTGAGGGAAAGCCATCATATCACAGAGTTTTATATTTATTCATTTAGAAATATCCATGACTGCTGCTGCATTAGCTATTGCAAACGAGGCATCATTTCGTTTAGATTATTACCTGCGTTAACCAAGCATGCTTATCATACTGCCAGTGCCTATATACGCCGGATATCCAAATGAATGTTTGCAATGTTCAGTTTGCCTTTAATGTTGTGTACGTTATTTCGCTTACATTGCGCGTCAATGCAGTGCCACTCACTGACGCAATCCTACGTCAAACAAATAACGCCTCGTGTACCTCTAACCCCTAACACCCCCGCAGTACAGTTGTTAGCGGCGGACTGGTGGCGCGTAAGACGAATGGGTAGGCCTATAGAAATCGTCCATACCATCGAAAATGAATAACGTTGATAAGAGACTCATATGAAATGATAAACCGCGGTAATATTTTTTTGACCTTTGACCTTAGAAAACTACAAAATCAAGTTGCATGCACAACCATGAATGTAAAACACTCTCCTCAGTCGTTATTGCTATAGCTGACAATTTTGGCGATTCTTCACAAATAACAGAATTACAGACCGTTGCCTTATACCTGTACCGGTTCTTCGTAAGTCGCTTATTCTATATTCCCGTCGTTCATAAAGTAGCATCACA